TTATGGGCTCGGGCTTTGGCTTGGGCCCATTGAAATTTTGAAAAAATCCCAACCCTAACCTAGAAAAGTTGCACCCCTAAATCCTGGTAATGTAATCCCGTGTAACAAATGACTTTGATTTGTTTTGGTAACTGAGAGTTTAGAAGCATGGTTTAAACTGTCCCTAAATTTTTTAATATTTTCATGACATATTTCAATTTCCATGGATAGCAACATGAAATTTTACTCAAATAAACATATTCCCCAGTTAACACCATTAGCACTATGTGAAGTACAAGAGAATTCCCACGACATATTTCCGTTTTCAAAAATTTTATTAGAATCAACATATTCCACCGACGAACACTACCAATACTATGCAAAGTACAAGAGATGGTATTATAACATAAGTTGGTGACAATATTATGTAGAGTAGCAATGTTATTGTCCACTTAACATAATAATTTATTTGAGCCAGCTCGATTTTCATTTCAAACATTAAGTGGAATATTAGTTTTTGTTTGTCTAATCGATTATTTAGTTGATCTATTAAAACCATTTGCATTTTTTTACTTTAACTCATTCTATCATGTAACTTTAAGAGGGGTTCTTTTATTGGATTTTGAGAGGGGAGAAGTTGGTCAATGGGATTTTGGTTCCCATTGACCAAGAATCACATGTTCATTTTCAGATTAATGTGGGGACCAGGGAAAGTTTATTTTCCTGGGTATCCCATCCCCTAGGTGGGTAAATAACTTTCCCACCTAGGAGAAAAGTTACTAACACTTGAATGGGACAAAAATGTCCCTTTTAGTAATGGATTTTTATGACAAATGGTCAATACCTTATTTACCTGAGAAATAAAAGAACATGGGTAAATGCATTTACCCGGATAAATAACTTACCAAAAAGCGAACAGGGCCTAAATTGGACAACTTCAGAACGTATTCTCTACAACCTTCATTTTTTAACTTTGTTTAATGATTTGGAATGAGATAATAATTTAAAAATGTATGCCTATGCTTCTTTTATCATCTAATAAAATATCATTCTATAATTTTGCATATTTTACAATGTTCAGCCATGTCTATAATTTTTGCAATATTTCCAACATCTCTAGCATGTTTTCTATATTTGGATGACCGGCATTTCCACTAACACCAATATCCTCCAGGATTGATTTTACTAAACATAAAACAGTCCAGACATCCTACCAAAAAAAACAGTCCAGACATAATGGTTCAAAGTATTTATTGGATTGGATTGGACCTGATCCATCAATGATGGGTTTATTTTGTATCGAGTCAGATTGAACCAATATCCGGTCCATTGATAGAAGATAAGAATACAAGTTTCATTAGACCAGGTTTTGATTGGAATAAATCTAAATTAAAAACAATTTGAATAGATTGGATGGTCCAGATAAGTCCAAAATGGTATAAAGCATTCATCGAATTGGATTGGACCTGGTCCATTTATAATGGACTCAAATTGTACCAGATTGGATGGAAAAGTGAGACCCTGGCCAAACAATGGCCCCTTGAAAAAACCCTGGATCATATGCTTATATTTTGTCCTTGCAGTAACGCTTGTTAGAATGGTTCTTCGAATATTATTTGATTAAATTTCTAGCCACCTATCAAAACAAATCACATTTTCTAGTCATTTCAATGTGCATATCCTTTGAGTCATGATAAATTTTACTTGTAAGACTATAAGCTGATGGAAATTTTGGGGCCTGAAAGCAGATCCTAAGAGGGTTATAAAGTCTATTGGAGTCTGGAGACCTCATAAAACATTTGAAAAGGGTTCACTTCACATGGATTAACTATCAAGAAATCACGAGTCGGCTTGGATTGATTTAATAGATTTTTTCAACCAATACAACCTGATCAGGTTACTTAAAGAGCAAACCGAAACCGACCTGCCATTAAACAAAACCAACCCAAACATGAAGAGTCAGTTTGGGTCGGTTTGGCATTATTTGTAAACATCCCTATTTTGGTGTAAAATTTCTTATTCAAAAGTGGAAAACAATCCTAAAGACAAAAGTAATTCCCATTTAACTAATGTTTTATTGTTCTTTAATGTTAATAAGTAACTAAAAAGAAGAAACTATGATAGGGATTACCTAGATAGAGAAAGACTAGGTAATCAAAAACTAACTCGATTCGGTTCGGTTCAATTTCAGTTTTCACACATGAAAATCAAAACCGAACCGAATTATCGGTTTATCCCTCTTCACAACCCGAAACTAATCAGTGGTGAAGAAAAACCGACTAAATCAGGTTGGATCGAGCCGGTTTGGTCGGTTTGGTACTGTTTGTGAACAACCCTACTAATACACCTTTAAATCGAATGCTACCAATTGATGTGGTGTAAACTTTTAAAATATAAACTGCTATATTAAATACTGTTAATTAAAATTGCTAACATTTAAAAAATGTATTACACATGGGATGCATGGAATGTTGGATTTGACTTTTGCTATTTAATCATTTTTAATTATTCACTATAGAATGGATAGATAAATAATAAACTGATCGATTATATTTGTTTTACTCTAACAAGCACATGAAACATTATCGTGCACATTTAACATCTGGGAAACGAACATAATAAACACAAGGGTAACCAAGCATTAAATATACGTTCTTAAAAAGGGGTGTTGCAAACCCTAATATATTGTCACATTATGTGCCATTATCAGAGTCAGAGGGAACATAATTATAGCAAAAACAGAAATCCATCAAAAAAATAACAATAACAGAAAAACATTACATGAAAATGTTGCAGATTCAAAACTAAAGAATACATTTTCACAAACTCAATCCTCAAACCAATATTATCAACAATTTAGCTGCTGCTTTCAAAGCAAACAAGAACTTCAGGTTGAAGCAAACAGGAACCTTACTCAAACCATGCAATCCCATAGGACACAAAATGTCCTTGAATAAGCTTAGCTATCACTGGCTTAGACATGATCCTGCACTCAAAACACCCCTTCAATGCCAATAAAACTAATTTCCATCCAGGTCTATACGTCCAGTCAAACAGAAACATAAAATGTTGCAACACTATAAAAAGGTTTCCTCACCCTATTGCATTGCTAAATTTACCAGTACGTCAAATTTATGACAATAAAATGCTTAAATTAAGATTAAAGTCAAATATGACATGCAAAAAAAAACATTAAAAAATAAAAAAAAAAAAAAAGAAACAGATCACATATTAAAGTATTAGACTAGTTTAGGATAGAGGCAGAGGTGTAGGAATGAACTTGCTTTCTGCCTTAATTGCATAGAAAACACATGGCTAAAACAGATCAAAGCAACATCCATAATTAAGACTTCTTACCTTTTGCCCTATCCAAATGCTAGCTGACTTCCATAATGTAGAACAAAGTTTGAAGAACCATCTAAACCAACCCTTGGGGCCATAAATTGAGAATCAACACATTAGCAATGCACTTATATTGTACTTTACCCACATCCATATAAATAAACAAGTGATAAAGCAAGGGGAAAATATACTTTGATGGTCTCATTGGTTCCTAGCACACTAACTGTCCAAATTCTCTATTATACTAAACCTTCAGCTTAACAAAGATACTTGCCAAGACCCAGAGCAATCAAAGAGTAGGCCCAATTTCCTAACCTATCTTGAGCTTCTAGAATACCCTATAAAGACCTTAATTCAGATGGAAGGAACCTGAACATATCTACTTTCAACCAAAATGCATCCAGTAACAAGTGAATGAAACATCATTCGACATGCTCATATGCATTCAAATCAATGCCAAATACTATGCTGAATCAATTTACATGCCAATGTCCAACCTCCTCCCCAAGCAATCCACTAAGAAAAATCCCTGCCCCTTCACAGGTTCACTATATTATAATCACAAGGATGACTTCTGATATAAAAAAAATCACGACTCTAAGTCCTGGTCTCACAATTCTGATCTATAGGCTCAGTTTGGGAAGAGTACAGATGCAAACATGTACAGTGCAAATACACAAAATAGTTCAAAATACAAGGTTTTGCACTGTACATATTTGTTTTTGTACTCCTTCCAATCTGAACCATAAGGAAAGGGCAGCCGAGTGCATGAGGACCTGCCAATACGGGGTTTAGGAGGGACAGATGTATACAGCCTTACTCCTGAACATATACAGAGAAACTGTTTCCATGATTTGAACCACGGTCACCCAGGTCGCAATGGAGCAACCCAACCCTTGCACGAAGGCCTACCCTCACAATTCTGGTCTATAACGGTTGAACATCCAAAAGTACCAACTTCCTAACCAATACAACCAAAAAAGTGAAGTTTCAAAAGAAGATTGAAGGTGCAGTTTCTCAAATCCACAGATGAAACGGATGATACAAGAACCTTATAATATGGACTAGATTATTTCTATCTGATAAATCCTCTGAATCTTCCAATATGATTTTTCTTTCTTATTTTAATTGTCTGTAATAGACTCTTAGTCAACTTGGATCATCTGCAATAGAATCTTTCATTCAGGGGATCACCAATGAAAATTACAGGAAACAGCATCTAAAAACATGGATTTTATGCAGGACACCGCACATCAAATTATCACTACTTATCAGCTGCATGCATAGAATTATAGTGCATCAAGCACACTCTGCAAAAGCTATGTCTACCCTTCAATACCTGATTTCTGTAAGTTGTATGATGAAAGAAGGGAGAAATGCACATGGTCTCTACAAAGTCTATTTAAAGTCTATTCACATGTAAGAACAATTAACATTATGAGCAGAAGAAAATAACTAAAGAATACAGCACAGTGCATGAGATATCGCATATCTATGAACATGCGGAGAACAAAACAGCAATTATTTTGGTGCATGCATGTCGCTGCAATCCAGAAAATCAACAGGCTTGCATCGTCAGATAATGCAGCAGAAGTTTTATATACAAATTATATACACTCACAAATCTTAAAACTAAAATCACAACAAATCAATATATAGTCCACAGGACCAACTGGAAATAAAAGAATAATAATAACTCATAACAGTACTTGCACATAAGCCTAAAATAAAACATCTTCAAGTCTCCACTGCCTTAACAATAAAATTTTATCTCATGAACATTTAAAAAGGTGGCATTTTTCTGTGCCTCATAAGTCAATGTTTCAACAATAAACAAACATGAAAAATCCTACAATTTTACCTGAAGTGTAATGTGAGAATTTAACAATTTTTTGAGGAGCAATAAACTTCACAAGCAAATCCACAACATAATGTCAGTTTTAGATATGAAATATTGATGGCTAAAAACAGCCTCAAAGAAATTTTAAATGACATCAAGTTAGTGTTAAATGTAGTAACTGTACAAGACTAATCCTTCAGCCACTGGAAGCTCAAGTTTTTCCATACTTTTCCACATAAGCCTGCAAACAAAAGAGAGAATGTCAATGCAGAACACAGGTTGAATATACACAGGGTGAAAGCATTCTCCAACATCATCTCCAATCTAGATGCTCACCTCAACAAGCTTTGTGATTTTAGGACGGGATGATGACAGATATTGGTTAATTGATTCTGTGGTGTTTGGAATTTGATGTGGCTGTAATGTGCTAAGGACCTTATCAACGGCTTTCTTAACAATAGTTTTGTGTGCATCCTTGCTCAGATGACCTCCTCGCCAGGATGGCTTTACCAATTCCTTCACAAAATCCACAAGATCAGTACGGAAAAGCTTAAGTGCTTTTGACTCCTTGTGTGGTCTAGCCTCATCTACTTGGTGTTTGGAATTACGATGGAGATCCACTTCAATTTTCTGTCCCCCATCTGTTCGGAGTTCCTTTTTAAGTTTACTTCCATCTGATTGATGTGTAAAACCACCATCATGAGACATTTTATCAAGATTTGCAACATCTACAGAATGACCAGAGCCAAAGGGCTTCTCTTCTTTGGGCATGGTACTTCTATTATGCTCGTCAGCAACAGCTCCTACATTTTCTTTTGCGGCTATGTGTAAACCTGTTCCATAATTGTATGAATCCTTTTCCAATACACCATGAGTATTATATTCTGGAATATTGGTCCTAATCAAACTGGGATCTCCATTGGTGAGCTGATTTTCCGAACTCTGGGTAGCACTGCCTCGACCAAAATAAGCTGCCTGAAAGGACCTATTTGCTCCACTAGGTGGTTCAATGCTATCAAGGAGGGGATCATATTGGCTTCCAGGGGACGATATACTTGTTTGAGAAAAGTGAAAAGATGGTCGAAAAGGAACGGATGGCTCCCAATCATTTGAACTGAACTGTGATTTATATCCTGAAATAGGTGGATCCCTGGGAACACTATGGAGAAGATTTTCTGCTTCCAATTTCGAGTTGAATGGTGAAGAAGAGCTTCGAGGTAAGGAAGCAGATCTAGAAGGATGATATCCTTTATCACTGTCCAAATGCTTCTGTCCAGCAAGAGGATCAATGCCAAATGTTGAAGAAACATGAGACGATGAGGCTCCCGACCAAGAAAAGGTATGGGATGACGGTGAGATACCTGTAGACAAAGGTGAAGGGATATCAGAATTTGAATACAAAGAACGGAAAATTGATCAAGTATGATCATGCAGCATATACTGACTCTGTTGTTTTAGACCGGCTGCTTCCTCCATATTTCTGTCATAAGCAAAGGGATAACTACTGCTTCTGTAAATGCTTCCACTCGAGAAATATCTATACTCGGGAACTAAGCTACTCCTGGCTAAGGGAGATCCCCTTGCAAGCTCTTCAGTAACCGATGTTTTACCATCTCTGAGGCCACTAAGTGATTTCTGGTTAAATTCTTCTAGGACAGAGGATGTCTGCTGAGTCTCACAATGATTAGGGGCCCAACTCCTACCAGAAGTACCAAATTTAGGAACATCACCTTGAATGAGAATTGAGGTATGCCTGTTATGGTCATCCAGTAAGTAATTCTGTCTTAAATTCCCTCTGCCTTCGTCCTGAAAAGATGGAACGAACTTGGAATCATCTCTAACTAAAGGAAACCGTTGGAGGTCACGTCTAACTACTGATGTTGACCCACTCTCATTGTATGTAAGTCCTGATGATAAATCCCCTCTAGGAAGTGAAGACAACCTATGCTCATCATGAAATTGATGCCCTTGGCCTTCTCCATGCTTCCAATGTAGAACTGTTTCTGAAGGGAAGGTTGATTTCAGAGGATTACTTCCAACTGATGAAGCTGATGGATCAGCAAAAGTGGACAATCTTGATTTACCAAAGCTTTGTCCCAAAGCTGCTACAGCAGAAGTTGCTTATTAGAGACCTGAGACAGAGCTAAACCAATGTAGACAAGCATACTAACAAAAGATCCTAAAATACCTGCATCCACCTGGAGTTCACTTTTCCAATTTGATGTTTGCGGGTCTACCTTGGCCCCCTCACTGGTATTTCCCACACCATCTTTCTTATGGAGAAACCTACATGCACTTCCCTTGATGCACCAGCCTCTAGCAAAAAAATCGCATACAATGGCTGGTCGTTTATTTTGCTCCTCTACTTCAACACCGGGTGATAAACTCCTAGGCCTTGTTAGTGCAATGGGCAAGCTGGAAAACTTGGCAATCGTTAGTAGGCATAGTTGTGAAAACTAAACAGAGATAAAATCCCCAGAGACGGGAGGTCAACTGAATCAGGAATCACCATCATCCTCCAAGCCTTGTCCCAATCAAATCATGGATTTAGGATTATTGTATTTGTTCAATTAAATATAGAAGAATAAAATAACAATAAAAAACTCTGAAAAAATAGATGATTGATTATACAACAAGGATCATAAATATCCATTATCTAATGTTCAGATAATAAAAACTCCACTCTGCAGACCATGAAACAAGTTTGCTTTTCAATCTTTTATCATATCAAATTACAAATAATTGATTCATAAGTCATAGCCCTTAATTTGAAATTTTACATCACTAAATAAAGGAAAACAACCAGACCAGATACAACCATAACCACACTGGGACTATACAAGAACTGTTACCATTAAAATGAAAACAAAAAGTCCTACTAAAAATTCCATTATAATCAATGCTCCTGAAATCCTTATGAACTGACAACCAGCAGCATTGTTTCCCTCTGATATGTCCCAGAGTTTCTTGATCCGTGTGCTTGTTTGGGCTTGCCTCGAGGGGTATGGCACAAAGGCGGCTCATAGAATCAGGAATGTAATATGTTTTACATCACATTAGCTACTTAAGTAATGCAATTGAGGATAAAAAGAGATTGTGGGTTTTACATGCTTGAAAATGTTTTAAATGTTTGATTTTATTTTTAAATTTTCATTTGAATACGCTTTATATGTTATGTTTATGTGTTTTAATTTTAGATAATAGGTTTTTTAAAACATTTATTTTAAATTTTAAGTTTATATTTTTATTAATATTATGTTTAATATTTTTTTTTGCATTTTTTTTTTGGCATTTTTCAAATTTTCCGACAATTTTTATTTATTAGCATTTTTTTTGTATTTTTGCGCCTTACTTCAAGAAGGCACTCACCTTGGGCGCAAATTGGCCCCTGCGCCTCTTTTGTGTCTTGCATTTTTAAAACACTGCCCTCCCCCTAGAAAAAACAAAAAACAGTCAAGGGAAGAAGGCCCCACACCACCCTGTCTGTTTTGCTCAAGCCTCCCAACTGCCAGCCATGCAAGAAAATTCACATAAGAAAGCACCCAGCCATCCAAAATTATCCAACACTGTCCCCTATGCTTGAAATGAGAAAGGACAATGCAGAAATAGATGATTAGAAGACCCCAACTCTGCAGAACATAAAACACACTATTCTTGGGCCAAAGGAAAGCCACTGGAAAGTAACTTGTCATGGGTCAGGCATTTATCCAATGCTGCTGTCCGTACAAATAACTTGATTTTGTCCAATCTCCAATGTCTGAAATCAGATTGTCCCCACCTCCAATTATTCACATTAATTCTTCAAGCTGGAATCCAAATGACCTTGCCACTCGAGATGGAGTAGCAACCTTGACTAGGGCTATTCTGTGCAATCATAAATAAAGATATGTATCTCTACATCAAAATTTGCTGCCCACACAAAGTATCCATCTAGAATTTGGCTCTGCTCCCATCTCCAACCTGGTAACTTACACCTTGGTAAGAGTCAAGAAACACCTCAATGCCTTTCCAAGTCGAGGAACCATAAGAAGTAATGTTACCCCAACTTTCCACCCCATCGATCTCACCCCAAATTTGGCTTTGATCACTCTTTTCAATGATCTGACAAACTCCTCATTAAATCTCCAACATCACTTCCTAGGCAGTGCTTTATTAAACTTTATTAAATTTCTAATACACACTAACCCAGACCTCCAGTCTTCTTGGGTCTGTAGACCTCCCATTCCACTAGAGGGAACTTGAAAACCTATTTCCAACCCCACCAGAGAAAATCCAACATTTTCCTCTCCTACTATCTGACCACATCAGGAGGGATATGAGAATAGAGAAATAAAGTAGGTAGGTAGAGCTACAAGAACCATTTTAATGAGAACCACTCCCTTTTCATAAATACCTTGCTTTCCACAAGGCCAATTTCCTGTGAATACTTTCAAATCATTGGATCTGACATGCTGCTGAAGTTTATACACCTAGCACGAAGAGGAAGCCCCAGGTAAATAGCAGGCAAATGGCCCACACCACAGCCTAGAATTTCTACAAAGACCTCCTCCATATTCTACTCTTGCCCAATCACAATTTGTAGGTTTACCTTCAATCCGAAAACAGCCATAAACTACCATAAAATGCATCCCAAAGCTTCTAGGGTCTCCTTGGAAACTTCACAAAAGCAATATCCTCAACATCATTACCCACTCTAAAGCACCTCAAGTCACCCCCAAGCACAGCTATTTCATCCATCTTAGTCAAAGCTTCAGCAACACAAACAAATGAAAAGGGGGATAAAGGGTCTCCGTACCAAAGAGCCATTGAAACTACTTAAATAAATCGCAACCTCTTGGGAAAAAAAGGATGAGGAATTCTGCTTGGGTTGTCTCTGCTTGCTAGTCACCACTTTCCGTCCAAGAACCAAGTTCATCAAGGGTTTGGAACTGTGAAAATGGCAGAGAAAGGAAGGTTCGTGAGAGTGACTAAGTGGAGGCGAGAAACAGTAGATTTAATTTTTAGAGTTGTTGCATTAAAGATTGCCTTTATGTACCTTTACTTGGAAGAAATCTGATATCAGTTTCTAAGTTGTATAAGGATGGTTATTCTATTTTGATTAGTAATAAGATTACAATTAAATTGAATAACAAATTCCTTACTCACGGAGAAATTAAGAATGGTCTTTATGTTCTCCATCTTTCTCTAGAAACAAATGTGACCAAAACTATATCGAAACACATCCCCAAGAAAAGAACACGAGATACAATTAATCCCACGTGTCTGTGGCATTACCGACCTGATCATATTAATATAGAACGTATCACAAGATTCGTAAAGGGTGGTCCAGATTTTCTCACTGTGAAAGATCTACCAACTTGTGAGCCTTGTCTCTAAGGCAAGATGGCAATAAGGCCATTTATAGGCAAGCCTGAAAGAACTACAGGCACACTTGACCTTATACATACTGATGTATGTGATCCCATGAATGTTAAGACACGGAACCAACACTGTTATTTCATAACTTTTACCGGTGATTATTCTCAGTATGGTTACATGTACCCAATGAGACATAAGTCTGAATCCTTTGAAGAGTTCAAAGAGACTACAATTACCCATATCCTTTTTGGGGCATGCATTGGAGACTATAATTTACGTGTTGAGCCGGGTTCCAACCAAGTCGGTTCCTAAGATTCCTTTCGAGTTATGGATCGACAAAAAACCAAGTGTAAGACAATTGAAAACATGGGATTGTCCAACAAACGTCAAAAAGACAATTGCGGAAAAAATGGAACCCAAAACTAGTTGTTGCCTATTCGTAGGCTACCCTAAGAACTCCCTAAGGTATCTCTTCTATGACTCACGAGAACAAAAAGTGTTTGTTAGTCGAAATGCCTACTTGGAGGAAGACTACATCCTGAACAATCATCATCAGGAACTTGTTCTTGATGAAGAGAACTTAGTAGTAGTGAGAGATAACCCACATATTTCAGATAATAATATCCAGCTTAGAAGATCTACCCAGGTTTCTAGACCTCCAGTACATTACGGCTATGATCAAGAAAGTTACTTGAGGGAAGCTACGAGCAGTGAGGAAGATCTCGTGACTTATACGAAAGTTATGTTGGACATAGACTCGCTGAAGTGGGTAGATACCATGAAAGTCAAGATGGACTCAATGAAATCCAACGAAGTCTGGACTCTCGTAGACCCACCCCTTGAGGTGAAAGCAACCGGTTGCAAATGGATCTACAAGAGGAAGAAGTGCCACGATGGAAAGGTTGAGACCTATAAAGCTCAGTTTGTAGTGAAAGGGTACACTCAGAAAGGAGTTGATTATGAAGAGACCTTCTCGTCTGGCCAGCTGGAACATCTGATTTGACTCAACAGTCAAACAATTTCATTTTAAACAAATGAACCCTGTGTTTATAGAAAGACAGTGGGAGATAAGATTACATTTATAATTTTGTATGTAGACAACATTCTACTCATTGGGAATGATGTAGGAATGTTGACTACAGTGAAGGTATGGCTTTCGCAACAATTCACCATAAAAGATCTTGGAGAAGCCTCTTATATCTTGGGACTTCGACTCTATAGAGATAAATCGAAGAAGATAATTGGATTATCCTAGTCTACTTACATTGACAAGATCGCCAACAGATACAATATGCAAAACTCCAGGAAGGGATTCGTTCCTTTTAGGAATGGAGTCACTCTCTCCAAAGGAATGTCACCAAAGACTCTTGAGGAGATTGAGGACATGAGAGATGTTCCCTATGCCTCAGTTGTAGGGAGCATCATGTATGCTATGTTGTGTACTCAGCTAGACATTGCTCAGGTCGTTAGTGTTGTAAGTAGATATCAATCATACGTAGGACAACAACATTAGACTGTTGTGAAAAACATATTAAATTACCTACAAAGGACTAAAGACTATTGTCTTATCTTTGATGATAGTTCACTACAAATGGTCGGTAATACTGATGCCGACTTCCAACCTGACCCAGATGATAAAGTCTATATCTAGATACTTTGGGACCCTGTGTAGTAAGAAAAATAGTCCACGACCAAGGCCAATCCCATTGTCGTGAGGCTACCTAATAAGTGGTATAGATGAATAAATTCGTCCTGGAATTTGGAATCCTACCATATCATCCATTCCATTGTTGTGTGACAACACTAGATCTATGGGGGATTGTTAATAAAGGGGACATTGAGATTCAAAAGGTAGCATCATCAGAGAATGTTGCAGACCCATTGACTAAGCCACTGACACAAAAAGTATTTGAGAAACGTCGACAGTATGGGACTGAGGCTTGTACCCGATTGGACCTAAGTGCAAGTGGGAGTTGTTAGATTGCCAAGGCTGACACTGATGTGCTACCAAAGAAGTTGGGACAGCTTGTCTCAGTTGCTAGGGTTAGACTCGAAGC